GGAATGCATGGAGCTCTGCCTTGGGACAAGTAATGAGCCAGTTGAGAATATATGGGTTAGAATTAGTGGGCAGACCAATGTGGATGACATTATGGTGAGTGTCCGCTACAGACTGCCTGATGGAGAAGTAGTAGAAGAGGCCTTCTTCAGACAACTGAAAGAAGCCTCACATTTGCACGTGCTGGTCCTTGGGCTGGACTTTAAACACTCCAATATCTGCTGGAATGGCAACACAGGAGGGCACAAGCAAACTAGGAGAATTTTGGAGTGCAATAACAATAATTGCCTGACACAGATGATCGAGAAGTCAAGAAAGAAGGATGCTCTACTAGTCCTCATACTAACAAGCAAGGAGGAATTGGTCAGGGATGGGAAAGCTGGTTAAGGGGGGTGGCCTTGGCCACCCACAGTAGTTATGAGAGGGCGCAGTTCATTTTTTTTCAGCAGGCTCAGGAGGCTCTTATTAATGTCTATAAATACCTGAAGGGAGGGTGCAAAGAGGAGAGAGCCAGGCTCTTTTCAGTGGTGCACTGTGAAAGCACAAGAGGCAATGGATGCAGACTGAAATAAAGGAAGTTCCACTTGAATATAAGAAGAAAAGTTTTTACTGTGTGTTCAAACACTGGAGCAGGTTTCCCAGAGAGTGTGTGGCGTCTTGTCCTTGGAGATGTTCAAAACTGTCTTGACGTGGTCCTGAGCAGCCTACTTTGAGCAGCAACTCCCCTGCTTTGAGCTGAGGAGTTGGACTAGATAATCTCCAGAGGCCCCTTCCCATGTCTGCTATTTTGTTACTCTGTTTTTAATTAATCCCTGTTCTCCAAAGGCTTTCAGGCAAATTAGCTGGTAATGCAGTGGTGTGCACAGTTAGAAAAATATATGTATGTATTAAAGACTTATGATGACATCAAATTTCTTTTTAGTGTGGTGTGACTAGTGCAAAGTACTAATATATTAGTACTTCATGTATAGTATTTTCTCATTTGCTCTTGATATTTCTTCTGTATGTCGTCACTTCTGACTGTTAGGTATATCCTGCTACAAATAAGTGTAGCTGTGACACTTTTTAGGTTTGTTTTTGTTTTGTTTTTAATGATTAGTTCCAGGATTTCAGAGCATTAAAACTGTTCTGGCTTTAATTACAACCAACATTATTGTAGGCTGAAAACACAATAGTAGCTGTAGAGAGGTCATAAAATTATAGATTACTTGGTTACTGATGAGAAGACACGAGTCTTTTGTCCATTCATTGGCCCACATGGATGCTATAATGAAAAGGATCTTACCTGAGATGTACAGGAAAAGAGGGAGACAGAGGCTCACAGTTTAATAAAATTGCAACTGTTAACTTAGTAACTATCCAGTAATAACTCCTGCAGCTCTAGTCATTCTTCCTGTGTGGTCTGTTCCGTTTGGTCTAGGGCTAATGGTATGTCATCCAGATGTCCTTCAGCTTTCTTGATGTTAAGGGGCTGAGGGAGAGATCTGCCTCACCTTAAGAACACATGGATCCTCAGTCTTATTCCTTAAACTTTAATGCCTTCATCCCAGTTCTGCATGGTCAGTGGGCAGGATCTCTTTGGAGCGTTGGAACTGTAGCTCTTCCTCCTTGACTGCTACTTTCTGATAGATTCTCACTAAGGTTGTGTCGGATCATTTTGTCGACAAATGTTCTCTCTCTCATGGTTGTCTGTATCCTCACTCTTTGGATCAAGGTAGTATCGGGGCCATAGGGAAAAACTTTTATGCTTTCCCTGCTGTTCAGCTATGCCAGTGGGTTTCCCCAGTCTTTCACCTTGTCTTCATGTAAATTGAGAGATTGACCCTTGAGAGAAGGGAAAAGGAATGGAGCTGCATGAGGTAAAGCAAGGTCTTTTCTGCTTTGTGTGTTACTGCAGTAAAAAACTCCTCATTAATTTTAGTTTAAAATGCACATATCAGTATATTTTCTCTGGCAATCTAATCCCAAAAGGTACAAGAAAAAGGTTGGGAGAGAGATGTCATTTAGATTTGAAGAACATTAATGTCCAACAGAGTAAACTTTGACGTTATTTTGCAGATATGGATGTTAACAGGAGATAAACTGGAGACAGCAACTTGCATTGCGAAAAGTTCTCATTTAGTGTCTAGGACTCAAGATATTCACGTTTTCAGACCTGTAAGTATAGTTCCAACTTTTTTGTTGGTTCATCAAAGGACAGCTAATAACAATGTTGCTTTATTTGATTGACTACTTGTTAAAAATTGATGGGTTATAGTACTGGGTGTCATAATAATGGTTAAGAGTAGTACATAAGTTGTTACTCAAGCATGTAGAATTACAAAGCTCGCTTCTGTTTAAGAGTGCTTGTTTCTAGATTTGTTGATACGCTACCGAAATGTTTGTAGCCATGTTCGAGTGACCCAGGTTCAACATGCGTTCTATACTCTTCACTTACACAATAGACATAGTAAGGTACCTCTGAATGATAAGGGGTATCTGTGAGGAGGTGAGCCAAAAGGCAAGAGTGTCCAGGAATTTAGGCTATCTGAATATGAATGCTTGTTCTAGCATCTTCATTAAGAGAACTCTTTAGACTCAAGCAGAATTAATCCTGAATTAAACTGTGATGCCAGCGTCCTCTGCATGGACATAGTTCAAATCATTTTGGGAAAAGTTGAATTTTTTTGTGTATCATGAGATGTATATATTTGCATTTTATTAACGGATTGTTTAAGATAATTGTTAGAAAGTTAAACTGAATATATTTTTCTATACATTTTGGTTATATTTGCATAACATCAACTCTACTGAAGCCAAACAAAAATAGATTTTGCAGACCTTGATTGATGCTGTGTGATCAGACATAATATGTCTGTGTTTGTTCTAAATGAACCACTAGCACCTACAGAAATAATTATATGAATATAATTTACATGTAAATGTAGTTTCTTCTGAAGCATCAGAATGGCAAATTAGGCCCTGCAGACTACTATTTGCAATTAAATTATTAATGCTTCTGATAAAACTTCAGATCAATTTTTGTTGACCTTTCCATGTTGTAACACCACAAATTAAGTCTTCCTGAACAAAATCTATTTAGTTGAGTCAGATTTTTATTTTCATTACCTCAACTGGTAATAAGAGATCAGCATAAAAATGTGTTAACTTAGAGTACGCAAAGTTTTTAATTAGTTAGAAAATGGATTTATACAGAATTATTTCTGTGGCTGTATTTATTGCAAAGAATTAACTACTGGATTAATGTAAGAAAATGCCAAGCACTCTAACACTTCTATTTTAGTTATAAATTAGTAAATAAAAAATTATTCACTACTTCAGTTTCCCCAAAAGATGCATTTTGTTTTTAACGCTTTTCCTTTTCATTCTTAGAAGTCTCAGCTTCCTCATTTTGTAATGAAATTAACTGATACATTGTTCTAGAGGTATAAATTTAGAAAAAAATACCTCTGTTAGGTGAAAGGTAGAACCGAGAGGGCAATCACTGCTTATCAGTGTGCACCAAGTGCTGACATCTCTTAATCTCTGTAATGCAGAAAGATTATAACGGGCCAATGCAATCTGGGGTTCCTAACAGGTGATGGACAAGGAGCTTTCGCTTTACGTGTTTAATTGTGGGAAAGGAAGAAAAAAAATCTGAATTGGGGCATGCGTACAGGGTTTTCTGTTTGCAGGTGTTTTTTAATGTAGCTCAGATTTTATTGTGGTAGAGCACACATGGACGGAGAAAGGTCTTTGGACTGCATATGATTCTGGGTAGTAGTGGGCCAAAGACAAAAATTCATGTTCAGTGTAATTAAGACTCATATATTTTAAAAGTTATTTAATCAAAGTGCTGACAGAGCCAAAATTAGAAGTGTAATCGGAGTTTGTGGTTTATTCT